GTATGGTGCCATTTTGGTTCCGCCGATTCAAAGTAGGCAAATACACCGGAGGTCAAGGACGTAAGCCGGTGGACATTGACACCAGCATCCAGGACGCTCTAAGGAATGATCCGAGTCAAAGTGTGCGTGAAGTCTCGTCAAACGTTGGCCTACCAAAAACCACCGTTCATCACCAGTGGCGCCAATCCGGAATGCTCCCAAAGCTCGGACAACTTGTACCATACAAATTGACGGATGAGCAGCTATTGAACCGTTGTGCCATCGCATTTGCATTGCTCACCCGAGGACGCAATCATCGACGGCCGAACGATATCAGTGCAAGAGACGAGAAGTGGGTGCTGCATGTCCAGAACAGCAGGAAGCGTCAGTGGATCGCAGCAGATGACACGCCAGTACAAGTCTCGAAAGGCGAACTGCACGGCAAAAAAGGGCTGCTGTCGGTGTGGTGGGATTGCCGCGGCGTCACCTATTGGGAATTGCTACCTGACAACCCTACTGTTACTGCCGATGTCTACTGTCAACAACTGCTAAAGATGGTCAAGAAACACCGAGAAAAGTGAACCGAATCATTCTCCTGCATGAAAATGCACGTCCTCATGTGGAAAAGCTGACGCGTCACAAAATTCAGCAGCTCGGTATGGAAACTCTAATGCATCCAGCATATAGCATGGACCTTCCTCCTACTGATTACCACGTTCTCCGTTCGCTGCAAAATCACATCAAGGACAAGAGATGCCATGACCGCAACCATTTAGAAACATACCTTTCCCAACAGTTTGACAACCAGCCCAGCTCGTTCTATGAGAGTGGCATCCACAACTTGTCTCAGTGTTGGCAGTACGTCGTCGATAACAATGGATATTACGTTGATTAAGTGTTGTTGCCTGTTTGAAAGAAATATTGATTGAAAATGTGTGCTAAAAAATTCAAGTGTTTTCGGGACGTTATACATATATATATAAAAGATATTGAGCTATTCAAAACTATGGTAATTCAACTAGGAACAGGTATATGTACGACGATATCAAAAGGTAATAAAGTATCAATGACAACTTTTTTGTCTCTTTTCACACGCCATTCTTTCAATTTTTTCTTTTTAAGGAGTTATTACTTTTGGAACCGGGAGTTCACGCAGACGTTTCCATTGCAACCGGTTTTGTGCCACTATTCCGAGTGTTGTATGCCATCGGCATTCATCTCTTGGTCCACAAACGGGAGGGCGTAGCGGACCAGCAGTTGACAGACAGGATGTGGATGATTTGATGCTGTGACGCCAAGAGGTCGGCTAGCCATAACACGGCCTCTTCCAATGCAGTCTTATACGCACAAATAGGGCGCGGCGTGGCAATCACTCATCAGGCATGCGCAGGACATGGTCAAGCCATCTCAACTGGCACAATAGAACATGCTCATGGGGCGCGAGATTCGTTTGACCAAAGACCCGTTGTCTTATATCATCACTGCGAACCTGGTGTTGCCACCATAAATGGGCGATCCCCTGCAGACCGCCGTTGTCGAACGCCGAAAGTCTACACATGTCGTCCACTCGAACAGGCCGGGCTCCGCATCCATACAAAAGTATCGAGCGAACACAGACACTGTGAACCCTAACTTTTAGAAAAAGCAAGGTGTCGCGAAGAACCCACAGGTGTTTCAAATTAGCAAATGCCGAGCGGGCTTTAGGGATGCGGAGAGACACGTCTTCTACAATGGTTCCGTCGGTAGAGATACTGTTCCCAAAGTAAATAAAAGTATCCAAGTGCTCAAGCCAAATGTTTTCGATGTCGAGCTGAGGAAGAGCAACTTGCCAATAATCCTGTGCCAGCACCTTGCATTTTGAAGGTGCAAAGCACATACCATACTTGGACGCTTCAATCACCAGTTAGTCAAGGATCAGTTGCATCCTATGAGGGTTGTCACTGAGCAGGGCGATATCATCAGAGTAATCTAAGTCAGATGCACGTTTACCTGGAAGGAGCTCAATTACAGGATTCTGAAAACTCTCCATAGCTCCAAACATAATATTCAATCACGAAGTTGAAAAGAAATGGAGACATAGGGCATCCTTGTCGCACGCTACTGGTGACAAAGAAGACTGCGGAGAGCTTACCGCAGGCTCTTACTCTCCTTAAGGAGGTTTAACGCCCGAAGAATAGCCACGTACTTTTCCGAGACTGTTTTTTAGTAGGCAATGCCATTAGGCAGATCGGTCTATAGAGCCGAATGTCTAGGAAGACGACGATGGTGGGTCTATGGTATATGTGGCGATGTTCTTTCTAATAGTTGATAAAGCGTGAAAATATGATCCACGTAACCTCTACCGGGGCGGAAACCAGCCTGCTCCTCCCGATAGTACGTCATGCGAGTTGGCGACAGCCTGCGCAACATGATGGATACCAGCAGCTTGGAGGCAACTGATACCAGGCTGATCCCTATATGATTCGCACATGAAGTCCGGGAACACTTCTTGAAGACGGGGACGATAACTGACTCTCCCCATGAAGTGAGAACATTTTCCTCACTCCAGATCTTCATAAAGAGGGATATTGTCCGGGTGACAATTTTCTTTGGACAGTCCGGAGGAAGCGAGTCCGAAGCAGCAGCCTTACACCGTTTCAAGTGTCTAATCTCAAGGTGAACTTCGGCTTCAGTGGCTGATTCGAGGGACACGGCCCACGGTATACTACGGGGCGAGCTAAGTACGAACGTGGACGACGGCGAAGAACTGAACCGAGATTGGAAATGCTCAGAGCATTTGTCCATGCGTTTCTCTAAGTTGGTGATTTATGACCCGTCTGTCTCACAGATAACCTCGCTAACACCAGATCTTTTGTGATTGCTAGACCGAATGAGCTGAAACAACCTGTGAGTATCTCCAGAGAGGGCGGCGGTTTCCATCTTCAAGGCGCGTTGAGACCACCAAGCTTCACGATCACCGCGCAGGCTCCGTTTAAGTTGGGCGTTGATAGCGCAGTGAAGCTCAATGTGATCGGAGTTCCAGGGAGAGTTTGACGGCGGTCGAACAGTGTCAAGGAACGAGCGGAGATCCAACCCTTTGAGGGGCGATAAGTGAATCCACAGACTGAGTGGACAGAACATAACATAGTATTCTGCAAGGAGTTCCAATGCAGATCGACGTCAGTGGGAAGAGCACAAGATAAGGCGTTTGCCAATGATAATCGGTAATTAAGCTGAGTCAACGGATCGGATGCTGACTTGTTCGTGACAACCTTAAAATGCTTACGTCTGGGAGGACCCCCAAATCGCATGCAAACGTTCGCACAAACCAGTGCGTGATCAGGTTTAAGGTAAGTAGACCAAAATGACCTGCAATCCTGTATGTTACCTCGCCACCTGAAAGGGATTGCAATGTGATCAATTTGAGACCAGGTCTGCAATGGTGAAGGACGCTAAGCGGAAGAAGGCCTCTTTGAGTGTCTGAAGCTGGTACTTGCGAAAAATAAGCAATTATCTTCACGCATAGTGAGAAGTCTAGTGCCATTATCGGAGCGATTCTTGTGCAGTGCGTGATGTGCTTTAAGTGACATTCACCTGACAACAGGCGACCGACACGTGCATTGAAGTCCCGGCGAGGACGACGACATCCGACTTGGCGGCCTTGCAGAAAAGCTGGTGAAGTCTGGAGTAAAAATCGATCTTGATTGATTCACAACTAGTCAGTTGGCACATAGGCGGAGACCACGAACAGGTCGCGCCATTCAGCGCGGTGCCTGTCGACTGCATGAAGGTCTAAGTCGCACTGCACATAATCGGATGTTGACTGGGATCTAGTCCAGCAGTGCGGCCTCGGCTTTGCTGCTTAATGCCACAACACGTACCAAACCAGCTGCAGCCGCTTCTGCGTCGCCAGAAAGATGTAGATGGTATGTGGCTCCCTGGTTCGTCGGGGAAGTCAACTTGAGCACAGTGCTTGGGTCTTGCAATCTAGTTTCGGAAAGGCAGCATATATCAATAGCGAGCGAGTCCAGAGTGCGTGCTAGACCGGCTTGTTGTCCAATCTGCTTGAGAGTTCGAACAGGAGATAATCGGTCTAGGTCTCATGTCCTATGTGCCCCATGATTTGATACTTCGTTTCGTTCGTGCCTGTGTTCTTCCACACTAAACGTATTGCTCTTCAGTAATTTTTCCAGGTCTACTGGGTAAGCAGTTCAGATTACTCTCCAAGTCATTGAAACACTCGTCGCGATATGAAAAGGCTGACTTTTTGATGTAGTGTCCACACAGGTTAGTTCTTGTAAAAGGCACCGACAGTACTTACCGACACAAGTCACCACCTTCAATGCGTATTATCGGTATGTGTGGAGGCCTCGTCAACCAGATCAAAGTACAAATCCAGTTATGCCCGAACACGAACTTACCGTTCGTCAGTTATCCTTGCTTCGTGCGATTTTTGCTAAGCCATAGAATTAAAAAAACGGCTTCGACGTGATGGTAATGCGCTTTCATTTATTAAGCCACAATTTTGAGCTACATTTTATATCATACTGCACTGCTGAAAGCGCATGTTTTACGGCCGAATATTCACCCGGCATGAGTGCATAAAGCTCTTTATTGGCTTAAACACGAAGTTCACGATATTGCGCACGGTTTGCTGCTTGTCGAGGAAATGTTAGGCTATTTGAAACGACAATAAAATCTTCTGGCAAAACTCTGCCCTGTCGACCGGATACAAAACCCGAAGATCCTGTCCAGTAATGTGCGATCGTTACTCGAAAGAGCAGGGCTGTTTACTCGAGTGACAACAGTGCCCCCTTTCGTCTATCCATTTGTGAAATTTTGCATATTTGCTGAGGTCATTTTAGTCAATGTACATTTAGGTACATAAAGCTTATCCGGACTTGACCTGGCTAAAAATCGGTATCAGGTAATTTGTCTCCTGTCGAATGTATCCTCGAGTGAGTTTGTCTTAATTGAAAGAAAACACGGCAGTTATGTAGTGTTCAGTTGTTGAAATACTTAGCTAGTTAGGCGATAGAAAGTTCACATTCGAGCAGTGTATTTCGTCATTATACACGAGTCAATTACAAGTGAGTACGAAGGACGTGAAAAGGAGCACTTTCAATATCATATACCTCAAGACAAGTAAAGGCAAAATAAATTCAATAATGTATCACAAAGTTGCTTGTTTTAGTGTGTGAAGAAAAGTGAGGCGGGAAGGAGACGGGTCTGTGACATGGTAGGCGCTATACTGCCAGGAGTAGAAAAACGGAGCCAATCGGTCAGCTTTTCGGCGCTCTTCTTGATCGCAGATACAAGCGTAGAAATAAAGCAAAAAATACCAGCAAAATCCCTGATATTCCCACAGTGGACACACGATGAGAGAACAGGATACAAGACAGTAAAATGGACAAGCCCATGCGTAAAGTCATAATTAGTACAAAAGTGGCCGGACCAAAGTTTGCAATAGTCATGAAAATAAACAACTGTCCTACAGCTGAACAGAGCGCAGAGAGGATCACATCACCGAAGAAGGTCGGATGCAGAAGTCCGAATTGCAAAGAGGAGAACAGAGTACCTCGCTGAAGTAGCGGAATAAGGGTGAGAAGAACGGACCAGAGGTTCACTCCAGCCATGACCTGAGTGAGATCGAATAATGGGAAAGAAAAAAAAGAGAGAAAATGACGAGCAAACAAATAGCAAGCGGCACCGGGAAACATTGACAATAACATGGACTCTAAAAAGCTCGAAGAGAGTAGCTGCTAGATAACCTTATTTGCAATTTAATCTTGAGTACAGATAGGATAGAAGCAGTGAGTAAGAGCAAGGTTGGCGAATAGAAGAGCCTAGAAAATGTAGACTATACTTGTAAAAACATGAAACTACCACGGCTGATATGGTTCGTTCGCCGAGACAATAAATAACAACGACAACAAAAGCACATTGGTGCCTTGTAGCGATGTAGCTGGTGATACAACCATTGGGGGGACTTACAAATAAAGTACAGTAAAAAGTGGGATAAGGATTTAGAGTAAAACCTAAATGCTTAGAGCAAAACCTCGAAACCAGGAGACCAACACACTGCCAGCAACATGCGATCATAAACATCTGGCAATCATGCAAAGGCGCGATGGGCGACATATTCTCCTTGCGGTTTTCTCCGCTCTATATCATAACCAGCCTTAACAGATAACCCAGCATCAAACATACTATATAAAGGTGATCTAACTAAAAGAGGTGCCATGGATGCCAGTCACAAGGTCAAAAATCAACCACGAGGCGGGTCGTGTTGAGTCCAAATCAAGGGAGTGGTCAAACTAATAAGAGAAAGTGTAATCGTTAGTGGGCATATTACCCGACGCTCAGTCAACTGTTGCTGTCTCACGCCCTGCGCTGCCCTACATCCGGCAAGCAAGACCCCTTGGATAAGCGAGCATACGTAAACGTGCCAAAATCAATGCGATTTATTAAATCGTATTTCTTTATCTAGAGAGATTACAAAGCCTCTGACGCCTAGTACATGCCCCGGCAGTTCATCCTTGCCGACAAGCTGATGCCATCCGACGATGACGAAGCACTTGAAGGCACCTCAGACCGAGGGGCGGAGTCTCAGTACGGCAGAGTGGGTGACCCCTGCTGTGATCCTCTAAGCACGATCTTTAATGGCAAGAGTTTGTTGGCAAGAGTGATTTGAAGCCAGTGTCTCCAAGCTCAAAACTGCTTACCCCCAAAAAATGACGTGGAGAGGCGCGTCAGTGTAAGTAGGACTGACAAAGCCTTGCGTCAAAAGCGAAACGTTGATCGACAGTTAGGCTGACCGATTGTTCGCAAATCTCCAAACGCAAACAGCATTGCATTGGGAAAATGCTTGACAACGGGTTATACAAAAATTGTACTGATGGAAGAACCACAGTTACGAGCCATTGCATGAGATAGCAATGTGTAATGAAGGTGGCCCGGATTCCGACAGCAACCAATGTATGCAGTTGCGTAGGCACGCGTGTGTTACACGTGAGGCGGATTAGCAGTCATTAAAGGGGAGAAGACCAAATGCAAAGGCGAAGATGCAAAACATGTTGAGCAAATGTGTTTAAATAGGCCAAACCAAACAGCAAAGCTGTTTACTGAAAATGACTACTAGTGAAAGTAATTGGTGCTAGCTGAAAGAGATGGATAAACTTGAAACAAGATGAGAAGGTCCAGTTCTGACTATCAGAATAAGTAAGTGTGAGGAGTCTAGTAGCCTTAGCTAGCGAGAACCCGAAAAGTAAGAACATTGTAGGGGAGAAGAAAAGCAACAAAGTGGACCGCTCAAAATCAAAAACATTTGGATTATAGGGCGGAAGAAGCAATAGCTAAAAGAATTCTGGGTCCATGAGTGCCAACGCGATTGATGACGATGAATTCATCTAGAAGACCGCGTGCATCAGGGCTAGCAACTTGCGAGCAGCCCCTCTAAGTCTTTTCAGCAACCCTAAGACAAGTGGGATGCGTCCAGCATGTCCCAGCTACATTTTTCGCTCTAATTACGGACTCGCCCCTCCTACTATCCCTGGAGAAGAAATTCTGCCATTTGATCGAGAAACAAATATGAAATACAAATGCCCAAAATAGTGTCACAGTGCATGTGATTTGAGTAGTAAATATATAAATACTGCGAGACTTGGTCGACATGAAACCTGTTCCCCCAGTAGTGAACATTCACTGGAGCTATTAGATCGTTCTCTGATTTAGGTGGTGGTGTCTCCTCAGATGTCATTCAACAAATCTGTAGGGCTTGTGTGAACCTCCGAACCTCAGCCATGTGAGGTTGGTGCATCACCAAAAGGTATACTTCTAAACGGTTCAGTGGGGATAGGAGTACAGAGTGGATTGTAGACGCTGAATGTTGGGAATACTGAGAGACAGACAGGTGCTTGCAAACAATACATATCGCTTATGGAGACATCAGTGAGTAAAGCCGAAGGAAGCGCGCCAATTGATGTTCAGTAATCAAGCCAGATGTCGTGAGGGCTCGTCTTGTGAACTTGACATAGCTAGGCTGGTTGGGGATTGTCCTTCGAAGGTGCGTCGAACTTAATGCGAGTTGCCAGCTGATATAGCACCAGGTTGGTCAGCCGACGAAGTGCCGAAAGACTATAGTGACCGCCTGAGAACATGAGTGCCGTCTCCGCAGATGAGGCCCGTGGGGTCGGTCGCATTCGCGGTTACGTTTCCGTCACAATGCCACCTTGAAGCCAGTGACCCTGTTGTATATGTTATGCTGATTCCGCATGCAAATATAAATAAATTTTCATTCTCGACTGCGATATGTATGCATATCTCTTCAGCATCCATCCATTTGAATTTGGTACATGTGCTAGGGTATATTCTATACCATTTTATCCTATTGCTGTTCATTGTAATTATGGCAATAAGGGTTTGGCAAACGGATTCACTGCAATTCGGTGCCCGGATCACAAGCGGATGGAAGAGAACCCAACCCAACCCCAGCGAGAAGAGTGGACATAGTTAAACGGTGAGAAGGCATTAGAACAGCGTAGCGGATCAGCGTAGGCGAACAAATTTACACATGCAGCTCAGTGAGTCCAGCGAGAAGTACGAGATAGTTCTGCACATCAGCGGGTACCAACAGTGTTATAACGCTTTACCCACAATCGACCGGTTGATTCACGATAGCTGGTAAATCAGCGCCCTTACGCCTGCTCTGTTTGACGCCTTGACAAACCCGACAGGAAGGAACACGAAGACTCAACAGACCAGAGTTGTATTAGGGTCGAGAACGCTCATATGTATATGTCGGTCTCACCAATCCTCCAAACATCACCAGGCGGATTTGGCTGTAAGCCCACGCTCCACACTTGCTTGTCCACCCCGTCTGTCCAATTCACCGTCTTGCTCGGGCACTCCAGTCTTCGTCCGCCTACTCGGTGCATGGCAACGCAAATGATGTCTGACGCGCGATTTCATCAGCTTCCGGTCAGGCCTTGGCAACACGCCTACTGTCTGATGCGCGATTTCATCAGCTTTCGGCTGGGCCCTGGCAACACGCTCGCAGGGACTTTGCGAAGCACGATTTGTGGCAAACACGCGCGTGTTGGCGATCAGCTTTCTCGCCCAGCTGTCAAACAGTCATTAAGCAAACCACCCTCCAATCGATTACACCTCTGTGGGAGAGGGTGCACCACCGTCGCAACGAGACTGGACCTTAACGTGGTGCGACGGTTTGCGTACCTCATTGACCCATTGAGCTATACTGGGTGATGCCTCCGAGCATCTTGACAGCTACTCCTACCAGGTTGGTCAATGGTGAGAGGTCAGACAAACTCAGTCTCCTGGTCCTCCAGGTTGGGGGTTTGAAATGGGATGGCGTCCATTTCTGTAAAACTAAATCACTGCCACCCCGCTGCCTTGCGGACAGGCTTTTGAGCCAAAGGCTTTGGATGAGGACTCTAATCGTTCTCCTGTTTAGGTCTGGGCGCCCTGGCAGTATCCCAGCCCACATACAACCATGACATTTTCTTCAAACATAAACTTCATCCTGCATCGGCCGTCGCGCAGATTATCAAGGGTCGCCTTATCTGCTGCATACAGCAGGGCGGATAAGCGAAAGCATGCTACTGCTGGCGCCTCTCTTCTTTCTTTTCCACCTTTTTCTCTTACTCCCATCCCGGCCCCCATTACTAACCTTCCTTCTATAATTCCCAGCTTAATTGACAGCAACCGAAATGCTACTGGAGTAGAACCATCTGCAGCCACCATCCCACAGCACCTATCAGACGCCTATCGGCAAAAGTCCCTTATAAGGCCACGCTGTCCCGTTTCCATGGCGACATTCAAAGTCCGCACTCTAAGACAAACAGGTCAGCAGGCTGCACTCGCACGCACCTTGGACACACTGGGTGTTGATGTGTGTTGTGTGTCCGAAACTAGGATTAATGACCCTAACGGGGTTATTGAATTGACTGCACCCGGCTTATCCTCTCGTTATTGGTTGCACGCATCCGGAGATGCCGATGCGGCACTCACCGGTCAAGCTGGTGTAGGTATCATTCTCAGCTCCAAGGCTGAGTCATTGTTGGTTGATTGGATTCCGGTGAACAGCCGTTTATGTGCAGCCCGTTTGACGACATCAGCTAAGGTGAATTCGCGAAGTAAAACAAAACGCTGTTTGTTTGTGATTTCTGCTTATGCTCCCACCGACTGCAGTTCTAATGCAGTCAAGGACACTTTCTATCACGAACTGAACACGCTGCTACGCAGTGCTACTAGTTCAGATATTATAGTACTTGAGGGGATATGAACGCACAAGTAGGGCGTCTGAGCTCTTCAGAAGCTCAGCTGGGTGGTAATTGTGGGCATAACTCTGAACGGACTGACAACGGCGAGCGTCTGCTGCAACTGTGTGCGGAGCACCAGTTGTTTCTTACTAGCACTGCTTTTAGACACAGTGGGTGCCGAAGTGCCATTTGGCGTCCACCTGTAGCTGGTCAGCGATGAAACCAAATTGACCACATAGCCATAAGTTACAGGTGGCGCGGTTCCATTCTGGATTGCCGCTCGTACTGGAGTACCTATGTCGACTCTGACCATGCCTTGGTGCGCTGTCGTTTCTCCAAGAACTTTACCGGAAGGCGCACAAAGCGTCTCCCCCGATTGGAAACGGAGAAATTGTCCCAGCCCTCTGTCAGGCAAGCCTATCAAGAAGCACTGCATAGCGAACTCTCGCTGTCTTGTCCTAATGACACTGAACTTCAGTGGAATAGGATCTCGGCCACTATGCACGACGCAGGAGCATCTGCTTGTGGCACTATCCATCGTCACTGCACCAGTCACTGGATATCCGAGAGGTCCGTGAACCTTTTGGAAGCTAGAAGGCACCTCCCGGCTGGTTCTGAACACAATGTGACCAGACGGGCTATTAGGCGTGAACTAAAGCGGAGCCTACGTGCTGACAAGGAAGCCTGGTGGACCAGTCGGGCTCAAGAAATGGAGGAGGCAGGAGCAGTAGGCAATTACCGGAAGCTCTTCCAGCTAATCCGCACCACTGGTCCCAGAAAACCAGGCGTCAGTGAGACAATCAGGGACAGCGCGGGTGCGCTGATACACAATAAGGAGCGCCGTATGGCTCGTTGGGCTGAGCACTTTGAAGATCAGTTCAGCTGGCGCTTTGCTCCCGGACAACTTCCAACTCAGGTGATGCAGGACGAGCCATGGACGGTTAGTTTAGAGCCTCCGTCGGAGGCCGAAGTCCGAAACGCGATCACAGCCCTTAATCGTTTTCGTGCCGCTGGCCCGGATTCCCTACCACCTGCACTATTTAAGGATGGTGGTGAGGTCCTCTGCAAAACACTGACCTCCCTATTCGAACGTATTTGGAACGAAGAGAGTGTGCCAGCTACTTGGAGCGAATCGATTATAGTGGCAATATACAAGAAGGGCAGTCGCACAGACTGTTCTAACCACAGGGGTATTAGCCTAACGCCAGTTGTGACAAAATTACTGGCCTCGATTATCGTTCGTCGCCTCACTGCAGAACGGGAATCTCGGATTAGAGAAGAGCAGGCCGGTTTTCGCCCAGGACGTGGCTGTATAGACCATATATTTACTTTGCGGCAGGTGCTAGAGCAGCGCCACGCATACCGCAGACCGACAATAGCTGTGTTCCTCGATTTCAAGAGTGCGTTCGATTCAGTCGATCGATCGATTCTGTTCGAAATACTTGCGCGGAAAGGTGTTCCCACGAAATATGTAAACATCCTTCGTGCTCTATACTCGAACACTAGAGGCCGCGTCAGGGTCTACGGTGCCCTATCGGATAGCTTTTCGACTACAAGTGGCGTTCGTCAGGGTTGCCCGATTTCCCCATTTTTGTTCAATTTCGTCGTGGATTCTATCATGGAGTGTTCCCTTGCGGAATCTCACGATGTAGGTATTGAAGTGCTGCCTGGTGAACGGTTAGTTGATCTAGATTATGCGGACGATATCGTCTTGCTTTTCGACAACGTTGAAGCGGCACAATCAACCCTGAATAGCCTATCCAGAGTGGTCCCATTATTTGGTATGCACTTCACACCTTCAAAGTACAAAGTGTTGCTGCAGGACCACCAGCCACTCGATGACCCCTTGACGCTTTCTAACGAGGAACTCGAGGTGGTTGATCAATTCACTTATCTTGGCAGCTGCATCAGCAATGATGGGCGCATAGAAACTGACGTGAGCTCACGCATTGCAAAGGCCAGAGCTGCCTTCTTGAACTTGCGTCATCTTTGGCGACAGAAGAGAGTTTCCCTCCGTCTGAAAGGCCGTGTATACAAGGCCACAGTGAGGGCCGTTCTGCTCTATGGTAGTGAAACTTGGCCCCTTCGGTCTGAAGATCTGAGGCGCCTTCAAGTCTTTGATCATCGTTGTTTGCGAAGCATTGCTGGTGTCGGATGGCACCAGCGTGTCCGCAACGATGCTGTGCGTAGGCGAGTACTAGGGGGTGATGATCATGCAAGCTCCCTAGAACAACAGATGGCACTGAATAAGTTATGTTGGCTCGGGCACGTGCTACGCATGCCTGGTCACCGCTTACCTAGGAGGGCCTTGTTTAGTCTGCCAGGTGTCGGATGGCGCAAGGCTCGAGGTGGACAGAAGTTGACTTGGCAGCGGGAAATGAAGTCAATGAGGACCAAACTGGGTGCCGTTGGTCCGTCTCGCCTTCCGGGTTGGAGTCCACGTGACTCACCTTGTGCTTGGCTCGAGACTTTACAGGACATGGCTCGCAACCGACACCAGTGGCGCGTGTGCTGCCGTCTCCTAATCGGATTGTCTGTTTAAAGTGTGTTTGGTGCTGAGTTATCTGCGGGGTAATGGCTGATTATGACGCGTGGCAGTGAAAGCCGCAAGGAAGCTGTCTCGCCGATGCCGCCTTATCTTTGCACGATAGCCAGCTGTTTGTGACGGTATGTTGTCTACACAAGGTGTAGGCGCCTTGGCCCTGAATGTTTGCTTAGGGCATTAAGGTTTTCAGGTAAGTCCCCCTTCTCTCCCTCTTATTCTTTATTTCATAGGTCCTCATCGTTGTATGGCAGCGAAGCATCAGTTCAAATGGCTGATGTACTGCTGTTGATGATGATGATGATGAGGGTGCACCAAAGAAAGGCTGTTGCTTGGAGGTCGAGAAATATTGTCATATTAAACATGAAAATGTTCAAGAAAAAACCGGCGTTATCCTGTATTGTCGAGTCACTAGAGCCTAGTAGACACAACGAGGAAAAATCGCGTATGGAGCCCAAACTAAGGACTCACTTGCACTGGGGACAGCGAATACTTTCGGAACAGTCGGTCCTGCCAATTGGTTGTGAACGAATCCAATGCAAGATATGCAATGATCAGCAAAATACCACTGAAATTGTCGAGCTGATCGGTATTATTCACCGTGAGAGCGTGGTCCTCTGGATGACCGAGCATAAACATGTTGAGGCCTATACAGATGAGTACTGGGGAAATGTGGAAAAATGAGAGAGATGATAGAGAAACTTAGGTGCATACAACGACAGCATAACAAATGAAAAATAGAATAGACTGCACATGAAAATGTCGCGTGCATTACACCGCAAAGATACCGAGGGCATAAAAGCTAAAAGTCGGAAATGCAAAACCCCTCGATTGCAAGGACAGACGGGATGTAACGGCCATCAATTAGTGCCAAAAGAACCATTATGCTGGTGATTTGAGTTTTCGCTGAGCTCGGTAGTTTGACTGCCGATCAACTGAACAACCTGAGCTTCCAACACTTGCTTCTCAACTGTCATGTTGGTGGACACAGTAGTAAGATAGCGTGAAATAGCTTAGGACTGACAGACAACTTCCCTTCTTAATGGGTCCCAAACATACAGTTAACTGATAAATAAATCATGATCTCTCTCTCGTTCGGAAAGACTTCAAGCTACTAATCCTAAAACAAAACGGACAAATGTACAATCAAACCCACGTCAACAGATCTAGGCGTCCAAGATATTGTCTCAGAAAGTGGACCGGATGCGACTGGTGAGCAATCAAGTCCCGATAAATGGGCAGTTACGAAACGATGTAGAACTAAAAGTTACAGGTTTTGCCCTCCATGCCCCTGCCGACACATGCTCACGTGGACCTGAAAGCTGGCATTCAAAATTTGGCTCGTAAGTGGAGGCGACAGGCTGTTGTTGCGTAAGTGACACCGCGTCAGTTCCCTCTCCTTTGCTGCAAATCAATCACGAGTAAAAAGAATAAATCGCCAGGTGTACGCCGTAACGGCGCTTCGCTGCCACGCGAACACCACGTCGCGCGTGGGCTGAGCAAACCGCGAGGACACCCGTCCCTACGCGGATTCGAACCAGTGACCTTATGGTTGCAAACCAGGCGCGCAGACCCCTCGGCCACCGGCAGAGTGTGGAAGTTTACAGCTGTACTCTGATTTAATGAACGTCTATGGATTTGTTAGCGGCGGAATATGATTTGGGAGTCCTAACTCGGTAGACGAAGTGGTTTATGCTGATTAATCAATTGATTAAACAAGGTAGTTTGGGCTGCTCGATCCATGATCGCAGTAGGCCAAAGCCCAGATAGTAATAGATGCCATTCTCTATAGACCCAGATACAAAAGAGACTCCCGTTAGCATAGCATAAAGTTAATATAGGATGAATCTTTCTTGAAGTATATGCAATGACATTTTCTCTGCACTATATCCGAGAAAGCACTGCTTCTAAATCAAGACCAGGGGCATCTGCCAGAACGAATGTAGGACAAGCCTCATCAAAGACGGCCAACAATGGAGTAAAAATGAGGTCGTTTAGTTTGCCTGAAGATAGAACGTTGTGACGGAAACCGGACAAATGTGGATCAGGGTAAGCTTGTTGCGATTAGCAGAGCCCGGTTACTTATCCCGTTGTTTGTTTTGTTTTGTTTTGTTATTCAACGCCCGTTTCATAGTTTCCAATCTGATACATTACTCGGCTATGACTATACGGTAAAGCACATCTCCACAAAGAACACTGATCAAACTGATGCACTTTCCTGGCTATTGGAGAATCAGCGGCGCCAGCAAGTAGACTCCATCATTGCAGCGATTTCTCTGCAGTAGAAAGTAAATCAGGTGTTTTCGGAAACGCTCAGAGAGCTTCCTTAAACTTTTGAGATAGTACGTGATGCGCCAATGCGGGATCCAGCCCTACAACAAGAGGTCAGATTTCATACACAGTGGCTGAAAGGCAACCCTTATGGGGAGTTGCAAAGTTGGTCCCGGAGACAAGACGAATTATCAATCGTCAACGGATGTTTACTTCTGGCGGAGAGTTGTTATTCCGAGGGGGCTTCGCCAAAGAATTCTGCATGAGTTTCATCGTAGACACCCCGGCATTAACAGAATGAAAAGGATTGCACGAAGTTACCTTTACTGCCCAAATATCTACTCGGAGCTGGAATAGTTGGTAAAACCGTGTCGGAAGTGTGCGCTTGTCAGCAAGACGCTCAGAAAGGCGGAACTGTCTTCCTGGTCGTTGTCAAGGAAACCGTGGCAGCGAGTACATGTGAATTTCTTTGGTCTTGTGAATGGACAACAGTATCTTATCGCTGCTGATTCCTTTAGCAAGTAGCCGAAAGTTTTCTACATGGAACGCACAACAAGTGACGGAACACCGAGAAGACTTTTAGCCCAGCATGAAATATCAGAGACCCTGGTTACTGACAGTGATCCTCCTTGCAGTTTGCCGAATTATGTAGGCAGAACGGTATCACACAACTACGCTCGCCGCCGTTCCACCCTCAGTCCAATGGACAAGCGGAGCACTTTGTTGATACGTTTAAACGGATGCTGATGAACATGGAGGGGGGAAGGAACCACCCAAGAGACATTGGATGTTTACCTTCTGCTGCACATATCAAATCCGAACCCCCAAGTACCAAAGCAGCTATCCCCAGCAGAAGCGCTGGTGGACAGAAAACTCTGTATTCTGTATTCTTCACTGCGTCCAAATCATATCGGCTTGCAAATGAGGAACGCGAGAATAGAAAATAGTTCGATAGCGACACAGGACGCAAGCACGTCTATTTCACCCAGGATAGTGTTTTAGTCGGAAACTGTCACCCTGGATGGCCACAATGGACTACGAGGTCGATCGATTTCAGACTTGGACAAGTGCTGTATAAAGTTTGAGTGGGTGCCATGATTTGGACCAGACAGGCAAACTAGCTGCGGACAACCAGCATTTAAATAAATACCAGTGAACGATCGCTACCACTGGATATTCTGTTGGACAATTTTGACATACACACTAAAACTCAGGAGGGAATTAATGAGCCCTTCCCTTTCCTTTCACAGAAGGGACGAACTTGTAGCCAAGACGATGGGCCGATCGAATAAGTAGATCCGTGGTTAGAATGAATCTGGATCCCAGGAGGAAGTCATATGTCACTTTTCGCTGGGGTGGTGTGTTAAGAGAGTCCGTCCATCATCATCATCATTATACATGTCAGCTAGAGATGGTAAAACACCTCCGCTATTGTACCGCAATACATAAAGGAAATACATACATACATACATAAAGGAAAAATAAATACGACAGTTGAATGCCAGCTGAGCTACCAGCAACGGATACGCATCGTTCCGGTAAGCTACTAGCCGGCTACTAGGCAAAAACAAAAATTTAATTACGTTTTACCATACGAAATAAGATCGTAGATGGAGGGGGAGGCTAAAGGGATGGGGAGGGACAAAGAAACTCACAGCAGGAACGCCACTGAGGTCAACTCCTTGCCATATCAGCAAGTGTATCCAGCCAAACGTGTTCACCGTCTTTTGGACCCCAACCAGGGAGCCGTGAAGCTCCAACTGAGGCCAGCGCCGAAGTGAGGGCCTTCATTCCTCTGGACCAAGTCATCGCTTGGCCACCTCTCCTCTTCTTCCACCCACATCCCCGGTGAGCAAACAACGCACGTCGAGGGAGTCGGTGGGCTGGCATGCGCAACATGTGGCCCAGCCATCGGAGCCTGGTGCGCGAAATAACGGTGCTGAGCGGTTCATTCCCTTTTCCTAGGCCGTAAACAATGCGTCGAACACGCTCGTTACTCACGCGGTGTTCCCACCAGATGTGAGCCAAACTGCGAAGGCACCGATGGTCGAACGTAAGTAGCCTCTTCATGTCCGCCGATCTTAGGGGCCAGGTTTCGCAACCGTACAGTAAGGTCGAACGTACCGCTGCATTGTACACTCTACCCTTCAGGGCGAGAGTAATGTCGCGCCGTCGCCATAGGTGGCGAAGGTTAGCAAAAGCACTTCGAGCTTTCGCTATGCGGTTCGTGATCTCATCTTCGATCCCGAGGGCGCTGATACAACTTCCCAGGTAATTGAATTTCTGAACGACTTCTAGCTGATCCCCACCAAGGGTCAGCACAGGGGGCGAACCCTGCCAATCCTGGAGGAACGCTTTGCACTTCGCTAGTGCAAAGCAAAGCCCGAAGCGACTGACAGCCAGTGCTAATCTGTCCAGCGCGGCTTGACACGTCTGGGAGCTGTCACAGATGAGGGGAGTCCGTCCATAGCAGCCCGGAGAGGATTTAGCGCACGTCGACTAAAGCGGATTGGTTAACCGGTGAGTAAGCCAATGGCATCGTTTTGTCTTGAAGTGGACCAATGAGAATGAGCCCTCCATTAAGCGCATTACTTGAACAGCCAACAAGCAAGTTTGTGCGCATCCAGTAGTTGCTAGCGTGCAGGAACTTTCTCTCATGAACTATTTATTTTGACCCCAAAGGTGGGCTGTACATACTGTCCCCACGATTTCCGTCAGAGATCTTTGTATTCTGATTTGGGGAAGTGGCTGAGTCGTGACCCGAGTGTATCGGTATCAGTACTGTCAGTGGAAACACAACATAAACTGCGGAAGTTACCAGCCGCTACAGCGGCTTCAATTTCAGCAGCTTGTTTTGACTACTAGGGCTTACGATCAGAGCGAAGGTTTGCTTACAGCCGCGGTGAATCAGACCGACGGAGTTCGTTGCATTTCGCACCGGCGGGCACAGCCCATCAATACCGTAGCAGTTCTGAGGATGTTACCGAAATCCAGCTTTTAGTTGCGCAGCGAGCGAAGCAGCAACTGGACGAACTTGCGGACGGCGGATTGCGGTTGCTGCGATCTTGACCAATGCTGGTCAACATCCAAATGAGAGGGAGAGCGAGGTTTCACAAAGCCTCTGTCCAGACTCCAACTGCACCGTTGGGTCATCCGATTTGCAAATGTCTAGTCGGGTTTGTTTAGCCCTAGGTGAACCACAGAAACGCATACAAACTGTCGCACACACCCATGCGTGATCGGTTTCGACACAAAGTGACTAATAAGATCGGCAGTCCAGTTTGATGCCAGGCCACCTGAGTTATGGCCATAGGGTTAATTCATAACCAACAATGGGTTGATGATGGAGGACGACAGGTAAGATAGTGGGTGACGAAAGTTGGTGATCAGCACAGTGAGTAGTCAGTCTTTCTGTTGTCAGAGCAAAAATAATATCCATACGGTCCCTGACGACGCGTTCACACTGTGTTAATCAACCGACAAATGGGCTGAAAAACCCTGTCACAATAATGATGCCGTTTTAAACATCTTTAATAACAGGTCATGAGCGTTTCGGTAGAACTGGCCCTTGACTGCATCCGAGCTACAGTCGGTGGGCGCGTAGACGGAGATGGCATAAAAAGCATGCCTATTGGCTAAACTTTGCAGTTTACGGGGCATTGATTGGCATGCAATCAAGGAGGGCAGTCTGGGTTTTAGCACTGAGTGCGATCCCAACACTAACTTGCCTAAATGCGACTGACAGCGTCACCAAAAAGACGAAGATGGAAGCGGGTGTGTGAGTGGATCAGTAACGAAAACTGCTGGAATCCGGATGCCATATCAAAGTCAGACAGGGGATATGAGTTGCAAGAGTCTCCAAACGGCGTGCCAATTCAGCTTGCTGCCCGGTTTGCAGTAAAGTGCGTACACAAAATGTTGATAGAGTGGACCGAGTCACTGGTTACAGAAGCGACGATGGGTGACTTTGTGGCTGGTGGTTCTCTGTGAAGCACGGCATGGTTGAGTTGCCGGATGATGAGGGGGCAAGGGAAGGGTAGATAAGCGGGTAAGGAGTGGTAGTAAAGTTGGCGTATCAGCAGTATATGCCCGCCATAAAAACGAAAGGGCGTGAAAATGTGATTCCATAGTTTGTCATTAGGCGACCTACTACGGTTTGCTTAGGCTGAAGTACGCAAGTTGTCTCAAGATGCCACCGACCAGAGCCTTTGGCCAAAGGGCCTAACCTACAAGGGAGCTGAGCAAAATAATAGATTCGCCCAGTTGGGAGTCGGTGAATGAACACTCAGTTCATACGCCTTTCGGATGGCGTTAATCCATACCAGAGGCCCGACACTTTCGATGTCAAAGGCAAAATCCGACGCTTGTATCGCTTGCCAGTGTACAATATCTCTAAGGAAGACAAGAGGTGGTGACTTTATTTAGTGGCGAGTCACATGCGCCGTGCCGCAGTGTTGTTGGGCAGACATCCGTGGTGTTTTATGGAGAGAATCGTTACCAAGTGTAAACCCACCACGTCCTGGAGGAACACTGCCACCGAACCATTCGATGGCACGGGGAATTCTCGAGCCATCTAGTTGGTAACAAGGAGTTATGCGGCAAGCCAGCCCAGAGATGAGCGTGCCATACGAAAAAGGAGTGTTTACAGTGATAAGCTCATTTCAGGATCAACATGAAAAAAAACCTTTTCCGAGAATATTGCAAGCATCAGACGAAGGCGTGCACTTCATGAATGTGGGTATTTACAGTCGCAGACAGGTAAGAGTCACCGGCAACGAAATTCTCATAATCATGCTCACAATGAGAAGCAATGGCTTTCACGCTCTCCTATATCAAGCAAACGAAGTAAGGTCTTCCTCGTCTAGCGGCGAACCCACAGAGGTCATAAGCTCTACTGATTAAATTTGCCCGACGACAGTAAATATAAGGGTCGCGGTCGGAATGCGTGAATATAAACCTCATCTGTGTAGCACACGGACTTCAATGTTGAATCGAGAGTGACGGCACGAATGTGCAAGGACATATAGTATCCCGGAACTAAAAGATAGATCAAACTTATATCACTTGTTGTTAAACGGTAAATATATTAGGAGAATGAGTTTATCCCCATATAGAGCAAAGGTGTAGTTTGAGCGGGATAATTCATAGGGGCAAAAGTCATGTGAGAACCATAGTCTACACCAGGTAGTCGTGAACTTTTGCTATTTGGCATGGCAAAAATACTGGAGCGGAAGTTGATGCAATGGTGTCAGAAAGACTGGTATGAGGCAGAAGAGGCGCCAAGGAGTAGCAATCAAGCAAAGTTCTGTGCTGGAGAAGGATTTCGGATAGACAATAAGAGAGTGAACGAATAAGCTTGTCGGATCAAAATCTCTTAGTTATTAGCATAATATGTCGAGTGTTGTAACACCGATACACCTTAGCAGGACAGATGTGCATATTGTGGAGCGTATGGATGTCTAGAACCAAGTGTGATTCCCAACCGTATGCATCCAGGATTACATCGTATATAAGATGCGTAAATAGAGTTGGGGAGAATAGATCACAAACCACTTTTGGGCATTCCATGTGCGCAAACACCTTGTGGCTGCTACCAGTAACAGGGAAAAGAAATGTAGAAATATCCTATCGACAAAAACCAATTTCGACCAGAGAACAAAAACGACGTCCAGGGGAGATGAAACGAAAAAATTGACATGGTGAAAGTTCGAGGAGATAGTGGAAAGATGTAAGAAACTCACACGCAGTCGCGTATTCAGTGGCAGTGTAAGAACGTTTTTGAATGAACCAACCCATTATCATCACGGGGATAACTTTGCAAGCCTTCGACATCACCTGGAAACCGAATATCGGGGAATGGATAAAAATTGGAGAAAACTAAGGGATCTGAAGAAAACTTAGAATCACACTTCGCACGCTATGAATCAATGATGGTGAAGAGTTGGTCTGTATAAGAGAAATATTGGCAAATTTTGAATGAGGTTATTCCTAAAGCCAGAATCAGTGGCCAGCTTTCGAGGGATAATGCCACAGAAGGAAAGGGTTAAGCATCGAAAGGCGTGAAGAAACGAACAGTTGGATTTCGACCAATTCACAGTAGCCATTGAAACAAAGATGACATACACCAATAAGTAACCACACCAAAATTGCTAGAGAAAAGGTAATTAGGTTGGACCAGCGGACATTCCGATTGAAACCAGAACCCGCGATTGCCCATAATGTATAAATATGCGTACACAAGAAGCCAGCTGGCTATAACAAAAAGCAGGTAACATGGAATATGGCTGATTCTCATTAATTAATCAACCAATTAATCAGGGTGTTATGCTCTTAGGGCTGGATCGTCAGATGGGTTTCGCACAGACTCCTAAGAACACGGTACTTTAGGGCGTATTGGTGAACACAACACCAAACAAAGTATCCGAAGCACGAAAGGCAAATGTCGAAAGTACACTACAATCGACAGATGAAACATCTGATTATATATGAAGCGAAGAGTGACCGTGGGCGAGGTGACAAGAACAATGGTCTGTTCGGTAGAATAAAGGTGTTCCAGAGATTTGGTTGAAACATTGAAATTCTGTACATAAACAACTGTAGGCAGTTACGCACTAAAATCGGAACATGCTATCAGTTCGCCTTTCTTGTTGTACAGTAGAAAATTCGGACACAGTTCAGTAGCGCCATCGGGCCTCGGGTTCTCCGGAGCTTGGGGTTTACTCGGATTAGACTTGCTCTAACTCTAACAAAATGAATGTATCAAACTTAAGTTCGACCCCATAAAACTGTCATCAATAGCAGATCCGAACAGATACACATCTTTAGAATAAAACACTTTTAAAGTTGACCGAAAGTTTTCAACTGAACAGTGCTACCCACCATTGCTAATATGGACAGTCATTACACGTTAACTAGGCACATAACGACCACGCAGACTCAAAAATACTGAGAAGGTTCAAGAGAAGAGGGCAACGCTGTAGCAAGAAAAAATGGCACTGTGAGAGACGTTTGGTTGCCGCCACATTATTCCACGATGCGAAATGACCTCGAATTAAGTCAGCGTGCAGCGCAAGTGACCGTACTGAATCGGTGAAAGTGGTACATGAAGAGAATCAGCAGACAACTTGACAGATAAGGAATTGGACGGCGAATATCTGGGAGACCAGGGTACTAATGAAGATAGCATGCTACGTTAGTAAAGACCCGGATATCGGAAGGGAGACATCAAAATGTGACTTGCACAGATCGCAGTATATTTAATACTACAGATGACGCTGAGGGACGGTTGACGGACGGGAACTAGTCGTGAGAGTAGAAAACGCACACCGAGAAACATGCACAGTGAACAAGCAGATAGCCACGGTAACATGTGCAAGTGAACCAAGATAATAGACAAGTGTCAGAAAGATAGACTGACAATACAGTTACATGACAGACTAACAACAGGTAAACCACCAATCATAGCTAAAAAAGCTGAAGTAACATCCATTGAGAAAAACGAAACAGAATCGTTATCGACTGACGACAGCTATGCAGTATACGCCCATCGGTGTTATAAAGCAATGGTTGAATCGAGTGTGTGTTGGTCACCGCTGTAGATCAATGGGGACATGTGAGCTTAGGGGATGCAGTAAAATGCAGATCAAAAGGTAAGAATACGTATGAAATCAGCGTGACATTGCGTGATCTAACCATAACTCGAGCGCTGAATAATCCGATAAAAATGGTTCATTTACACACCTTGCAATGTCATTCAGATGCGTGGCAACTGCAGGGTAATGCAGACACTATCTGAAAAGAAAAGCTGGCAAGTACCACATAGAATGAAGCAACCTCGATGAAATAGCCCTGGTTCAAGCGCCGAAGTGCTGTGGACCAACAGCCTTAACTCCAGACACTATGACGATAAACAGTTGACAGTGAAAGAAAACGGACGGATAAGGAACAAGCAGACCAGATAGGACGGGAAGTGACAAATATCGGAGTCGTGAAACGGAAGAGTGAACAGGTAGGTGTAAGAAGCCAAGTTTATAGACATCACTGGCAAACCGATTAAGTCATTTTTAGTGGGGTGTCCAAACAGTAAAGCGAAGGACAACGCCTGAAACTGTACCTGAATCACACGCCAACGGTCACGAAAAACAAACAAATCAAACAGAAGCCAAATGAAACGGGAATTAGACGTCTGCCGATAGGAGTCAGTGGGATGAGATTTAAATTGAAGACGGCTCATTCAATATGGTAGGAAAATTAACTATCGGACACAAAATGTGGTGACGAGGGAGCACGTAAGGACGTGCAGTCTAATTACGGATCCGTTAAGGACACATTATGCACGCGAACACTCGTTTAAAAGCTTATAGATGACGTGGCTACGGTGAGCGGCATTGAACAGCGTCAAGTAACCCAGAAAGAGACACCAACCGCCTTATTCATACCTACTCACACATCACAATCGGTCGCTGGTGTGAACGCACAATGCTAGGCATAAAGCAGCCGTCGGAATGCACTCAGAGAAAACGCATATTTGAGAAATTGGTTAGGTACAACAAGATTACGTATTGTGTTAATTAGTGTGCGGTTGGTGTAGTAAGTCAAAAAGTGGTATTCAGGGTTTATTGTGGCACAACTTCTACATACGCTGGAGGCGTTAAGCGGCACTTTTAGAATACCGAGCACTCAAACAAGCGGAGGAATCGGCACACCAGAATGAGTCAAACTCGACAACAAGTGGCTCATAGTGTCCGTGGAGGGCCGCTGTAAATAGCAAAAGTGTCAGACGATCGGATGGTCGGATAATAAATTTCGTCTCGGGATCACCTCAGTTGCAATCTGTCACATCTGTCAAACCCGATTAATCCCCTCTATGTTTGCTCGCTCGTACGAAGCTCGGTGTCAATGCTCCCTCCGTTACCACAAGTACAGGGCTAACGCCATTGCATTTGGTTAGGTGATGCTATACAAACACAAGTATAGCTTTGCCAACCGACTCTGGCCTTCGTGTTCCATGTGCAAGCAGGGTTATTTGCATCGTGATTACACATACTGTAAAGAATCGGTTGCTTCAGTGCTAAGAGGATAGTTTCTGATATGCACTTGAGTAGTACCGCGGTTTAGTCTTGGTTTTATTTTGATTCGACCCCGGAGTATTGTGCGATGCTTAATATCCCGAGCGATGTCATCGCTTACAACCGGTTTAGCTGCATGAATAGAATAATGGATCAAAATTGCAGGTACAACAAAAATATGATTAACTCTGACGTAGTGGAAACCCAGATGAACGGTCAAAACTTCCACAACACAATAATTCGCCTCGGCGTATGGATACGAGTTAACCAAATCCACAACGCGGGAACATTCCCGAGTTGTGACCTCTGGCCGTTCGGGGGCCGGTTATTTGTAAAGATATGTATATAGGAAGGAGAAATGCGAATCACGCACTGCTTTGCTTTTTATACGTATATGAAGTGGGATTCACGGCGGAAGGTCAAACTAGCACCCACAGTACCGGATGCAAAGCGGAAAACGACCGATAACCGAGCTGATTTATCAATGAATCCCTTTTACCTGAGTAGGAAACGATATGTATTTCAGTGCTTCGTACTGGCACCAGCTGCTGAGTATGTTGCTAAACGAAGCAAAGGAGTATTCGAAGAAGGGAGCCCGGCGTCCTGGATGCAGTGGATTGGCCAAAATACCCAGGGGAAGAAAATGAATGGGGATCACGATAAAAACTGTGGCGAATCGATTGCAAAAGACGAGGAACTGTGAATCTTCGAACATGGTGCCATTGTAGTCGCGTGTCATGATGCGCTCCTGTGGGAAGAGGTAAAGAAAAAACGAGGGAGGCAACTAGACTGTGGGAGAATGTTAACAAACCGCTGTAAAGAAGGCGTCCGAAATGTGATATAGAATCCCGTGAAAAAACGATAGATGAGTAATGGATAAGGAGATAATAAAATCAGACATGGCACGTGGGTGTAGATAAGGCGAGTAAATGAACCAAACAGAAACGAGATCACATCGTCTTAACAATTCAGTAAACTTAACGAGGAATCAATTGAGATGAGAATGGAGCAAGAAAGGTTTAAAATAACCCAGAAAAACCTACTTGTCGTGCATCTAGTGGAGAGCTCCATGCAGGTTCCTGTTAGCTTGGGGAGTCACGCTTTACGTTTCGAAGCACACTGGTGGTTCTCTGACACTATCCTAGGTTGAGAAGCAACATGAACTGGTACCTACGATCTAAACAGACATATCCTTCTAGTTCTAGGATTTGACCTCCATTAACCAGGCGAATTAACGCACGCTTCAGGGTTAATGCTTCTCCCACTGTAGCAACAGTATGATGTGGTCTTTTTCGCTGGAGGATCCCTGTACCTCCATGTAACTGATTGCCATCGCTACTGTGCATACATGTTTAGGGTGAGGAGGCATGCGTTACACGATGATCGTCGGGCATGTTGCTACAGTCGCAGAAGCATTAACCGTGAAGCGTGCGTGAATTCGTCTGGTTAATGGAGGTCAAAAGCAACGACTAGAAAGATATGCCTGTTTAGATCGTAGGTGCCAATTCATGTTGGTTCCCAACCAAGGGTAATGTCAGAGAACCAGTAATGTGCTTTCTGAAGTCATGACGTGAAGCTGATTTTTATTCAACGAATAGCAGACCGATTTGACTGAGAAGTTTAAGCAAAGCTTCAGTGGTCAGGACACTGAAAAGGCCACTGTGAATATGGGTAAATTGCAGAAGACTTTTGAAAGAGTGGGCTATGAGACGTCAAATTATCATCCAAATAAAGAACAACACTGTGTGGTACGAAATATTAAGCGAATAGGAGAAACTGTCATGCTTTCGATATTAACAGAACGCGCTTCCATGATCAGAGATGAGGGGTGCACTGATCACAGCCTGTTTAAAGATCTTACGAGTTGCCTTGATGAAGTGACCGGTGATAGGCATTTTGGAACCGTATTAGACTGTTCTTTGTTTTGTTGTCGCATACACCAACCGCGTTATGCCGCTCGTAGCCTTAAGGATCACAAGCCTGCCTTGTAATCCAAGGGCGCGTGTTCGAGCCTGCGTAGGGACAGGGTGACCCTCACAGTATCCTTAGCCCATGTGCGACTGGTGGTGGTTGCGCGGCAGCGAAGCGTCGGTACTGCTATTGCTGATGCCTAGCTAGTTCATTAGCTCGAACAACTGTCGCTGGGTGAAACTTAAGAGTGAAAAGAGAGTAAATAGGAGATAAATAAATAACTTGACAAAAATATCGAGAAGTATCGGAGTGTTATTTCCTATGGAACAAGCATATCGGTCTAGTAAGGTAAAATTGGAGATCAATGATATCCAGACGTAGAAATGCGGGGGTAGTTACAATATTTCTAACTGTATGTAGGTTTCCTTTCCTGTCTAACTTCTATATGCGTTTGCAAAATTTTCCTGTTAGGACGACGTGGCACAACACAACTAAGTTTACCGCAGTTGGACGTCCAGATTGTAACCACCGTTTCAAAGCAACTCGATATAACTGTTCAGTTGTTCGCTGGGCACGATAATTCGGAAATCAAATCACCAGTGGACAGTAGTTTGGTTTCGAAATCTGTTACCGAATGAAGCGAACCATTCAGGAACTGACTCTAGGTTACAAATAGGGAACAGTGAAATGCAGTGCAATGAGACCTATGGGCTGATCGTATCAGTGGCAGTAACACTTATGTAAGACACAGAGACTACTAAAATGAACGCAGCGTGCGAGTTCAAAATAACGGCACAGAAAAGTCCAAAGTAATAGGCAACTTCGAAAGTGTGCAGTTGTCCGTCGCATTACATCAAATAACGCAACAATGTTGGTTCGCTCAGGAAAAGTGGTATTGTAGGCAAAATACAGATGAAACCAAGTAGAGGAAGAAAAGAAAGAACAATACAGAGCAAATCCACAGATCGAAACGATACGTTTTCGTGCCAACAATCTGTTGTGAACAATTTGGGACTATAGAGTACAGGGGAATATGGACCTGGATAAAGAAGCGATAACAGATGTGAGCAAATATGCGCCAGTGGGGCAAAATTGGATTCATCAAAAATGACTCCTAGGCATACGATTTTCATTCGTGAAAACAAGTCCGAATTGCAACGTCGACTGGCCTGAACTGCAACTGAGCGCACATACAGCTAATGAAGCATAAGCATCATAATCGGCCTGAACAGCATGTGACACCTGTCGAATCGCCGAAGGCGAAGTCTAAGTAGCAGTAAAGTCTAGTATCCTTGAATAACACTATTCAAGTGCAATTATTAATGGCACATGCATTTTAATAGATATTACAGTGTCACTGCTTTCCACTTGCTAGTCCTCATCATTCGGCATATGTTGTCAGCTTGAGTATAGCTGACCATTCACAGTGTTCGATACAAACTACAATGCTTTGCCTGGGGCCACGCTGAGTTTTGCTCATTTTAGACCGAACCGATTCGGTGATGCTTAACAGGTTCAAGCAATCGTAGTCACTACGCAAGAGTGGCGATTGGTTGGCCTCATAACCACTTTAGCGCGTTTACTCCGTTCGTCCAGTTGGGCAGTTACCACCGTGCCCCTTGCAGTAGCATTCAGGTCAATTGAACACGACAAACCGGCTGCAATAGAAATGGAGGGACATAGTTATGAGTTGCAATACCTAGAAGTCACATGGGGTAAGGTGACCAGTGATGAGAGCAAACAGAGATCGCAGGGATCTGCATATTGGCTGAAAAGTACTATCAGACTCCGAAGAACAATAATGACTTGCGGAAACCAACAAGCTCGAAACGACGGTACACCGGCGGTTATTGCAACTGGAACGGCGGCGGAACGTATGCGGTGCACTTTCAGCACCCACACATGATCGCACATCAGGAAAACATGATCACTAACACATCTGAATTATGACTGACTACTTCACAAAACAGTACAAACCACTCTGTTGGCATAAGCTAATACAGTCAACATAACCTAAGCGTTACCGAAGCAATGGCTGTGCCATTGCACAGCCCCGGAGAAGCTACAATCCGCTAGGAGCTAATGCTTTGAAAACTTGTCAGTGTAGAGCTCCACATGACGCGAACAACGATGCCCCGCCTTGAACACAACTACAAGTGCTTTCTTGGCAACAGTACTGGTGAACTGTAGGCATCCTCTTCCTTTGTCACCGAATACATTACTGGGCGGTTCTGTTAGACCCAGTGATTTTTTGAAAACGGACAGTAAATTTGGTGTGGAACTGGCGCATTAATCAAGAGTAGGTTGAAGAATGTAACAGATTAATCAGTTATTATGTGAATCCGAGGAGAGGCCACTGTGTGTTATACAAAACAGTCGACGTTCATACAGTATGTCTCGTTTTTAATCATGCCACTGAGTAGGCGATAGCGAGGTACACTAATTAGGGTTTGGTAAGCTATGATGCGGTGCAGTATTTGATTCGCTTTTAAACTAAAACCGCCTGTGCAATTACGCCACGTTCTTTGAATGTCTATCGATTATCTACCGTCAACTAATCAATCAACAAGAGTACAACAGCAATATGGACTGGTGCTTCGCTGCCATACAACCTTTTTTCTATGTATTGCGCACAGTAGTTGAGGTGTTCCCCACCTCTAGCTAACGTGTATAATGATGATGATGATGATGCCATACAACCATGATGAGCAATGAAATAGAATAATAAGAGGGAGAGAAGGAGGACTTGCCTTAAAAACATTAATGCCCTGAGCAAACCATCAGCGTCAAGGCGTCTACACCTTGTGTAGACAACATACGGTCACAAACAGCTGCCTATCGTGCAAAAATAAGGCAGCATCGGCGGGACAGCTTCCTTGCGGCTTTCACTGTCCCGCGTCATAATCAGCCATTATCCCGCAGATAACTCAGTGCCAAACACCTTTTAAAAAGGCAATTCGAGTACGAGACGACAGCAGTCGCGCCACTGGTGTAGACCCATGTACTGTAAAGTCTCGAGTCAAGCACAAGGCGAGTCACGTGGACTCCAGCCCGGAAAGCAAGACGGACAAACGGCGTAGGTGACTTTATTTCTCGCTGACAAGCCCACTTCTGTCCACCTCGAGCTTTGCGCCAACCTGCAACTGGCAGAGTAAACAAGTCCCTCTTAAGTAGGCGGTGACTAGGCATACGTAGCACGTGCCCGAACCAACGCAACTTATTTAGTGCTATTTGTTGTTCTAGGGAGATAGCATAATTATCACCACCTAGTACTCGCCTACGCACATTATCGTGGCGAACACGCTGGTTCTATCCGACACCAGCAATGCTTCACAGACAACAATGAACAAAGACTTGAAGGCGCCTCAGATCTTCAGACCGAAGGGACCAAATCGCACTCCCATAGAGCAGAACGGCCCCAACTGTGGCCCTGTATACCCGGACTTACAGAGAGAGGAAAGCTCCCATCTGTCACGAAAGATGCCTCAAGTTCAACAAGGTAGTTTTGGTCTTTGCAATGCGTGAGCTGACGTCAGTTTCTATGCGCCCATCGCTGCTGACGCAGCTGCCAAGACAAGTGAAATGATCAACCACCTCGAGTTCCTCGTTAGCAAGCGTCAAGGGGTCATCAAGTGGCTGGTGGTCCTGCAGCAACACTTTGCACTTTGAAGGTGTGAAGTGCATACCAAATAATGAGATCACACTGGACAGGCTATTCAGGGTTGATAGTGCCGCCGCAACATCGGCGAAAAGTAAGACGATATCGTCCGCATAATCAAGGTTAACTATTCTTTCACCAGGCAGGACCTCAACGCCTACATCGTGAGATTCCGCAAGAGAACACTCCATGATAGAATCCACGATTTAATCAAGCAAAAATGGGGAAATCGGACAACCGTGATGGACGCCAGTTGTGATCGGAAAGCTATCCGATAGGATATCGTAGACCCTGACGCGACCTGTAGTATTCGAGAATAGGGCACGAAGGATGTTCACATATTTCGTGGGAATACCCTTCTGCGCAAGTATTTCGAACAGAATCGATCGATCGACTGAATCGAACGCACTCTTGAAATCAAGGAACACAACTACTGTCGGTCTGCGGTATGCGTGGCGCTGCTCTAGCACCTGCCGCAAGGTGAATATATGGTCTATACAGCCACGTCCTGGGCGGAAACCTGCCAGTTATTCCCTAATCCGAAATTCCAGTTCCACAGTGAGGCGACAAATGAGAATAGCAGCCAGTAACTTTGTCACAACTGGTGTTAGACTAATACTCCCGGGGTTATCACAGTTTGTGCGACTGCCCTTCTTGTATATCGCCACTCTAAGAGATTCAATCCAGTTAGCCGGAACACACCCTTTCAGATACGTTTGAATAGGGAAGTTGTGCTTTGAAAAGGACCCCACCCACATCCTTAAATAGTGCAGGTGGAAGGGAATCCGGGCCAGCGGCACGAAAACGATTGAGGACTGTGATCGCGTTTCGGACCTCGGCCTCCAACGGAGGCTGTAAACTAACCGTCCATGGCTCGTCCTGCATCACCTGAGTTGGAAGTTGTCCGGGAACAGAGGGCCAGCTGAACTGATCTTGAAAGTGTTCCACCCAACAAGCCATACGGTGCTCCTTATTGTGTATCAGTGCATCCGCGGTCTCTGATTGTCTCACTGACACCTGGTTTCCTGGGAC